GGGGGGGCAGCCCCGCGCAGCCGACTTGAATAAAAATGATGATAGCGGTGCAATGCATGCCGGGGCCCCCATCCCTCTTTCTCTCTCTCTCTTTCACCTATGCAGCCGCCCCGTCACTCGCAGCCGGTCAGCTACAACAGATTGCAAACGCTTTGCGCGACATTAATCGCCGGACTAGGTCGATATCACTCACTGGCGTTTCCTCTGTTCGTTTGTGTCCACATGTCTTTCTCCACACACAGCGCGTCGAACTTGGTGACAGAGCAGAGCTTTAGTCCAGCTGTCGTGTGGGAGAGAGACAGACATGTAACACATTACTGTGGAGAGAAAGTGAATCAAAATCAGTAAAGTCTAAGAAGTGTATTTCAATAATAAAACCATGAAAGTGTGTCTAAACAATTGTATTAAAAGAACAGGCAACAAATTGATTGATAATGCTCAAGTGAGAGAGAGTTTCATTGTTTTTCGGCCAATGGCAGTGCTCAAGTGATAGCTAGGGTAACAAATAACAGTCAATGTAAATTTCTCATGACTATTTTATTGTGACTTTGCAAACAGATCTTGATGAAAGATTTTCAATCTCATATGCAAATTGATTTATTCCAAGAATAAATTCTTGCTAATCAGGAAGGTTATACATATCTAACAGGGATTCAGCTGCCACCTGGCGGTTGTCTGCCTGGAATTCAGCCCAATCTTTAGACTGCAGCACCTGGAAAAATTAATTAAAACAAAAAATGTAGGGAAGCAAACTTAACTGATTCCGGCTAAAACAATTAATGCTTATAGCAAAAATAGAGAGAAGAGCTCAAAAGTACTTTTTACCTCATCACGATGGGATTTAAAGAACTGAAGGGCAATGCTTCTGAGTGACGGACTGCTGTTTAGTATTACACTAGTTTTCAACAAGTCACAGAAGACTGATGCAGCAGGTTTGTTCTGAGAAACTAAACTCTGTGGAAGTCGCTCTGTTATCTCATCACACAAATCTGTGACCAAGTACCTATCTGCAGCTATGAGAAGCTTGATCATATCAACATCATCCCCAAGATCCCCCGTGTAGATGTAACTGCAAGACAAAAGATAAAGATGAAGCACACCACATTTAGTGATGCAAATGAAGATACTTAAATATTAATTTTGGCAGTTGAACAACAGTAATAAGCATCTTTATGCTTTTAATGTCGGACAGAACTGCAAAATCTTAAGTTTAAGAATCTGCTGTTATTGGTTTTATTACTTTTGAGGTACAATCTAGATTGTGTGTTAGGTGCCAATATCTTACTTGATCATCTCCTTCAGGACTGGTAAAGGTAGGTCGATAGCAACGCTATCTCCATCCCATTCCGGCTTGAACTTAACTTTGAAGTACTCGCTGCGAGCAGCCAGGATAATACGATGGGCAGCAATCTCATGCCCCTCTGAACAGAGCTTAACATCTGACATTAACCCCGAGTTAAATAAGGAACACAGACTCTTTGACAGGCGGGCAGGGCCAGATGCAGATAGCTTAGGATGCTCAGGTATCGGTACCGACTGGGTGACTATAACATGAAAATTATAGGAAAAGCCATACTCATGCAAATAATTACGAAATGGTACAAGACGATCCATTAAATATTGCTTTTTGAGAAATCGATTGCCATCACTCAATTCACAACTGCTGTCATAGTCAAGCTCATCGAAACGTACGCCGCCTCCCCAAGTAACAGCTCTCTCTGATGAAGGGTCATTCTGGTCCGTAGCTGTACAGAACACTTTAATTCGGTATCCGCCAGATATATTTGGATCTTGTTGCACTACTTCTACGACGTGCAAGTCGATTGTCCAAGACCAGAGGCCATCAGACGATGTAAAAGGAGGAAGTTTGGTTGAGCAGTTAGGGGACGGAAGCGGAAGCATGACACACCCAGAGGCCGTGGATTTGCAACGATCACTCTGCTCCAGCGACATCTGGAAAAACAAATAGCCAAAAATAACTAAATGTCCTTCCAGAAAATTTCCGAAAAAGTGGCGAATCTTAACGTAATGGTCGTGTCACACCTGTTCTTTTTGCAAGACTCACTATAACCTCTAAACAATGACACAGGTTTCATGAAAAAGAATAAAACATTCGGACACGCGCGCCCCGGCGGATAGCAGATAACAAACCTTGGAGCATAAAAAGTAAAGGAAAGGAGAGAGAACTTCTCGGTTCTTGGCCTTTTTTCCAAAGTCAGCTAGAGGATAACAATAACAATAGAAAGGACAAGTGCGGTTCACGCTTGGGGAACTGGCACCTGGCCTGGCACTACTGAACGATACGACACAGAACGATAGAGTAGTGTGTAGCTTCGTCACCAGAGCGCGCGTTTGCCTATCTACGGGGCGTAGCGCCGTAGGCTATAGTAGAGCGAGTAGGCCGAACCGCCCGCACCTGCGTCTTGGGGACCGTTCATATACTACGTAGTTCATTTTGGGGGAGGGGGGGTTCCGCCTTGCACTACGGTCGGTCACGGAGGGGGGGAGGGGGGATAGGCGCTGGTCACGTAGTATTCATCAAACTCCCGTTTTGCACCACCAAAACACGGCGTCGTTTCCTCTAATTTGTTCAAGGGCTCCCCTTTCGACTAAAATTTTGTCCGTTTGGGAGCTAGAGTGGGTTTTTTGACGAAAATACGGTGAAAATGACTACGCTGTACGTAAAGACGTACAAGGAGGCGCCAAATCAGAAAATAACATAGGAAGTACTACCCCTAACAGCACATTCTAAATCGACAATTGTCTTCGGATTCACCGTATCTTTAAAATTTCTGAAGCTATTCTAGTTTCGCTGTTGTTCCTGTTCCTAAAACAAAAACAAATGTTAAAAAAAATTGCTGAAGAAAATAAATAATTGAAATTCTTTCCTACCCTATTTGTTGATGTAATACATATCTCGTATTTCAACTCGAAAAGTCATAAACCGTCGTTTCC